CGATTAACGTTACGCTAGCGTAAGTCGTTGTGTCTGAACATAGCCTATATCTCCATGATCTGAACTGAACAACGGCAAACTGTAAAACAAGTTCTCGTAATCTCGATAGCTCCGATTAAGGGCAGTATAATAGAGGCAGTAGAGTATATTGGCCTTAACGGCCGCCCATAAAAAAATCTATTAACCAATCAATCAGCCGAAAAGATCCATTAATCGATCAGCCGAGTGTTTCTAGAGCTCCTAATTGGAGCTAAAACTGTTAGTAAAACAATAGCATGCTGATTTAACTCGGAATACATAGTTATCATTAAATCAAAATGTAGAGAACACAATCTTTAAATTCTTGATTAACCTTTAAAAGCTATCTACTTTAAAATAATTCCTTTTTGTTCATCTAAAATTTCCAACGCACTTTCAAATTCTTTTGTTATAAATCCTATAATCCACTCCAGGTCTAAGATATTTGCTAGTAAACTTTAATTTGTAGTCCCACCAGCTGACGTTTGCTAGGATACAATCCAACTGTCAACTTAAAGCCATCTTGACCGACAGGAAAGTAAACCACCTTGCTAGAGATTCAATGATACTACGATCTTTTAAGTGTCTTCTTCAATCCGCCACTAACTCCTTGTCAAATAACAGTCGGTTCTGAATACATTGATGTGCGTTGGGCCAGGCCCGGGTCAACCAATTTATGTGGAACCAGGTCAATATGCACGAAAGTTTTAGGCCATTATAAACGTATGGATATATCCCACAGTTATTTTAACCCATAAAAAAACACTCAGCACATGACAACAAACACAAGGAAGTTAAATGCCAATGAAAAACAGAACATGGAGATTATAAAATACTAAAATCTTGTTCATTCTCTAAAGTTTTCCACTTAGGCGAAATTATTCGCGCGAATCAATGGCGTCGGTTCGGTTTCTGAGCTCTGATTGGTTGCGCATTTTTTAACTTCGCAAAAAGTAGAAACTTTTCACAGAAGCGAAAATTCCGATAGAAATGTGAATGCGCATGCCCACGAACCAACGCTTTCGATTCGCGCGAATAAATTCGCAAGTGGAAAACGGGCTTAAAGTGGGAAGGCAATATGGGCCCCGCAAGTTTTTTTGTTTTTTTTTTTTAATTTATAAGAAAAATGCCATTTCCGGCCATCTAAAGGTACCGTACCATAAATCATAAATCATGGACCACCTTTATTTCGAATCCACCACTGAGCAGCATAATCACTGACACAAAAACGACAATTAATTTACAGTAATTAAGATCTGCTTAAAAAACACAACGATTTCTTTAAATATTTTAGGTTTTTAAAAAATTTACCCATTCCTTAAATTAAATACTCTACATTGTATCGATGCACGCATCTTTACAAAAAGTCAAATTCAACAGTTAAAAGGCACAAAAGAAGTACAATGAACTTCAGAGGTCTATTAAAGTATTTTAATAAAGCCAAGGGGAACTCATTTAAAAATGCGTGTCCTATTCTTGGATAATCATTGTTCATCTGTTCATGGTCAAAGTGGTTTGAGGGAAGATGAATGAAGGAAGTACTGGTTTTGAGGACATATTCACGGTCTGAAAAACCTATAGCCTTGTGTACTTTTAGAGAATAATCCAAATGAATGAAAAATTATAATTAGAATGAACTTTAGCCGAATAACGTTATATAAAGATAAATTCAGGGCACACGTCCTGAGTTATCGACGAAAATTATAATTATGTAAGCCAGGCCTTTACGCCGAATTTTATAAAATACCTCCCTCATGCGCCCGACTGAGGCTGTGTGTCAACTACACATTTTTTTTTTTAAGAACACATTTTATAAGAACAAATTCAATCTGAGGTAAAATCTAAATTGAGGTTTTTATTAGCCTGATTCTCACGAGAGACCTAGTATCCGGATCGGGAGCACCTGCGTGAGAACGCCCGATCGGTTAGCGCTAACCGTTAGCAATATCCGGATACTGCTAACGGTTAGCAAGCGCTATCGGTTAGCAAGTTGAGCGCGTTTCTCTCATCAACCAAACACACACGTTTACAATTTCCAGTTTCTTATTGGCCAGTGATTCGATCATCATATTTTTGGTACCCAGATCGGGATTTTCTCGTATGGACGCACGGTAGCTAACGGTTAGCAGGATCCGGATTCTGCTAACCGTTAGCAGCCGTGTGAGAACATAGCCATTATTATTTTTTTAATAGAAAACAATTCGGTACCTTATTTGTATTAATGTAAATTTTTGATGTTTTACCCCCTTAATATTCGTGTTTATCTTGTTTTTTTAAATGTTTTTATCTGTTCGTTTACTGTGCATTGTCTCATTCAATCCATGTGTTTTATTGCAATAACGTTTAATTTGATTTGATTTAACAATACATTTGAAAAAATATTTATCGAGACAATTAAAATAGCTGAAGAAAAGGAGACACTTTAAAACACTTGCGAGCTTGGCATGCTTGGCTTCATAAAATCATCAGCTAAAATATTTAAAAAAAAATTAAAATCACTTAAACTACAGGACACAAGTACCAATAAAAATTACAATATTAAAATTGTGAGATAAAACGTTGGTGTTACCTTTTTGGCAGAAAACGCTGCATTGTTTTCTTTTCTAGTACCGTAGGTTTCAAAAGAGAGGAATCCCCTTTAATTGAGGGTATGGGGACTTTTTTGTATAACGATAACACATGGTACCGGTAATGCACAGATTGTTCCTTTAAAGTTAAACTGATAGGCCTAACAACAAAGAAAATAATAGGTCTAACAGTATTATTAGGGAGTTTTCTCAACCTTACGAAAACGATAACGAATACGTCATCTGTATTACGTCATTTGTGCCTAAAGCATTCTTGAAAATACAAATAACAGCTGAATATGATCGTCGATTCGTGTAAAACATAGATGGATTACGCAGTGACAGATACGCTACTGTGGGGGATAGATTGACTAAACATTTGATGATGTAGCCGTATTCGTTATCGTAAGCTTGCGAAACCTCCCTATTATTTTTGATAAATGAAATGCAGGCATACCCTACTACAGGGGTGGGCAAAAAAATCGGTCGGAGGGCCAAAGTGTATTTCTGATTTAACACCGAGGGCCGCACCCAGCAAACGTTGATCTTTCCAGTGCGCTTCTAAAAACCTCTAAGTACTGGAAAGACACCACTTTATTCCCAGTTTTAATATTACTTTTTACATATGATCGGTGTCAGGCCTTAAAAAAAAGGTATAGCCAATGTTGCTTGGCGGGCCGCACACATAGGGTTTTTATTTCATATTCGCGGGCCGCAAAAAAATCGCTGTCGGGACGCATGCGACCCGCGGGCCGCACTTTGCCAACCTGTGCCCTACTACCACGCTACTCTTATCAAGAAAACCACCCATAAAGAAAAATAAACTAATGAATATTCTGGAATCGGTAAACGCTGTGGTGTGACAAGGATTAAATCGTTAGAAATTTACCATCATCATCATCGTAGAATTTAGATGACAAATAACAAGACTTAGTAAAATTGTTTAATATGTTTGAACAAATTATTATAGCTTCAGATAAAGAATTTCTACACTGGCCATTGCCATCTTCCTTAACATCGCAACTACTGTGATTTTATTATTTTTTTTATACGAGTATAAAAGCCTATTAATATCATTCTCTGTGTACCGGGCCGTGAATAATAAAGACCTAAAAATTAACATCAAGGTGAAGTGCCTCTTAGCTGCCACCCTTATAACCGTCATCTGGCGACACATGGTCGGTCCGTAGCTCCTATTTCTAAACACAGCAACCCATGTATTGTTACCGCTAAGCCGTGTA